GAATTTTCGAGTGCGCCCCAAGCTGACAGCATCGGGTACATGGGGGGTGTCAATGTAAGTGCAGTCACAGGCACACCATATGTACAGTCAATATAGATGCGTGAGACAACTGCCAACATTTGGCTCAAGGACCGCCTTGCGGAGAAAAGGTTAGCGAACTACCTTGCTGCGCATGGTCATCGGATAGCTTTGTCAACTGTGGGGCTGCAGGGTTAATATCCACACGCAAATATATGTTATATATATATATGAGCCCCTTCTTTTACCTTGATGAAACTTCCTCGGGTTCTTGAATTCAAAATTAGCCTCCTAGGCTTCTGCGATTGGGCTTCATAGATTTGTACGGGGCTCAAAGGTTCTCACAGTGTGTGTGTGTATATATTCACTTTCTTTGCGAAGCTCAAGCAACAGCCCAGCATACCCGACTAAGCCAAAGATGTTTTGCAGTTTTGCATGGCCTCTTCCCGTTGTAGTTGTTCTTGCGAGATAACGCGCCGCTTCACCACTGCACCATGCACTCACCAAGACTGAACGTGTCCTACTTCAACGTCGGTTCATGAATCCCTGCCAGTTTTTAGCCCCCGGTGAACATGGGTGAAAAGATAAAAGGTACCGCTGCGCAACCAGTGACAGTCAGTCAATAAGTGTTTTCAGTAGGGTTCATGCTGATAGCCGCGCCTTATATGTCTACATTTCACATAATGGCTCACCAGGGGGGCATGTCTATCTTACTATTTAACGACGTGCGGTCCTGGAAGTGGCAGCATTTTGGTCGCTCAGTAGGCAGTTTGGCCAAGGTACTTTTCGGTTTCACGTTCAATGTCCAGGTTGGGAGCCACATCATGGTTTTGCGCAACAAGTTGTGTTCATCATTCAGCAATGTCGCGCAACGTTGTGGACTGATAGAGCTTCCTACATGCAATTGATGGACAAGGTCGGTGGCTTTGTTTCCTTTCGACACTTGGCCTCGCGAATTTTGCACGCAGAGGCGGCCGATGAAAGGAAAAACACTGGGCTGCGTTTTTGCATTGCTATCTCGCAGTTTTTTCTTGTTGTGGTGTTTCTCTGGCCGTTTTGGTGCCCGTGTTTCCTGTTGCCATAAGGTGTTGTATAATGTTATATAATTGTGGAATGGAAGGGGGCCTGGAGGGAGAAAAAGGAAGCAGCACAGGAAGCGGCAGCCGCAACATGATAATCATGAATATCGATCGGCGGAAGCGGAACCGGGGGAGGAAAAGGAGGAGGAGAAAGAGAACAGAACAACAACGAGAAAAGAACGGAATGTTGTGAACGAGTAGCACAGCCTCACAAACCACAATAGCAGGAAAGTACCCATATAGTGGTCACAGAGTCATAGAGCTAAGTGGGGACCATGGATTTAAAGGCTTACGCCTAACAGCCGGGCGCCGGCACACTAGGGTCGTCTGTGTAGGGCTGGGTCGGGCGCACGTGCAGCTATCGGGGGCGTACAGGGCCCTGGGCGGGGGCAAGGTGGGAAACTGCTCGGCGTTGGAGGCGGGGGCCCGGGTCTCGGGCGCAAGTTAAGCTATCTGGTGCGCATCTTGGCCCTAGGTTGGGCCCATGTGGTCTATGTTGGGCACATCTTGGGTCCATGTTGAGCCTATGTTGGCCTATGTTAGGCCTATGTTGGCCGAGGTTGGGCGTATGTTGGCCCCATGTTGGCCTATGTTGGCCCTATGTTGAGCCAACTTGAGGCTATGTTGGGCATATGTTTGGGATATGTTGGCTATCTTGGGCCTATGTTGAGGATATGTTAGGAAATGTAAGTCGTTTGGAGGGCCTCTACCCACAAAATGTCGATTAAGCCTGTCCGCCCGGCCCGCATTACCGACACCACCCTTGAAAAAGACAGCATTTTTGCATTTTTCCTTTTTCCCCGCGTCGTATTTCGATATGCGCAATAAACCCTGTAAAACACAGTGTTTTTTATACCTCACACACACACGATACACTGTAAATTACAGGGGCATCAGTGAACCGGTGGTCCGCCCGTTTTTCGTGGCGAGGGTCGGCGGCAGGCGGGCGGAGCGTCTATAACCTTCGGTTACCACCGAAGGCCCTCCGGGCAGGGCACGGGCGCGTGGCCGGCGCCCGGATTTGGAACAACAGCGGGGCACCTACCGCCTTAACAAGAATTGTCCATGTTTTTGGGGAGTGGCGCTGCGCCCTCCCCCCCGATCAGCGCCACGAAAGCCACATTAGCAGGCAAACTCCTCCACCCACCACAACGACAGTTAGTGTGGCAAACCAGGCTGCAAACCAGGACAACACGCAACGGCGCGACGACGACGACGACGATAACCAAATAACCACAACCACAGCAACCAACATCGAGCAAGCGCCGCCACCCGCAACCAACATGTAAGAAGGTGCCGTTCTATCCGAGAATCCTGCCTGCAACATAATAACTATTCAAAGGACAACTCCTCCGCTTGTCACTGCTGCAGCAGCCAACACATGTTACGGACAGCCAAAAACCACAACATCTCACACCGCAACCACTGCAACCACATCACAAGGAACAGCAACCACAACGAGAAACCATATTTGTTGGCACAGTATTCAATTTCACTTGTAAAAGGGCAGTACCCAGCAGTCTAACGGCACGGCCTTCAAAAAAGATCTGAGGAGTGCTTGAACCAAGCAAGCCCCATCCCGAATTGAGACTGGGTCAGCAAAGCAACCATTTGACGTCCATCAAGATTGCCGAGATTGCGCAAAAATATGTGTTTTTAGGGCAGCGTGTTTCTTCACGGTGGTTTACTTTGCCACCTGTGTAGCCTGCTGTAGAGTTTGGAGATTGCAATTCCAAAAAGACATTGGAGTACAGCCTTTGAGTTTAGAGTCGCTTTGTGATCTCCAAGGAAAGTCAATGCGCACTCCTTGAGCAGAGTCAAGTCAGTGAAATCCGCCCGCGCCGAAGGTGCCGAGGCGTTTTTATAGGGCGCGCGGTATACGTAAGCTAGCCTGGGCAAGCCAATAGCTTTAGCTAGGGGGGGGGGGCATTTTCGTTCTAGAATCCTGTGTTCTTCACGTTTTTGGAACCGGCTTAAAATGCTGGAAGATGAATTCGTGCTATTTTGAAGCCCCTGGTGACGCAAGAAATGCAATTTTCTTCCTTTGCATGATTTGAATCATCCCCTAACGTCGCTCAACATAGCTTCCATATTGCCTAACATAGCCCTAGAAGTCACTATCTAACGGACGTGTCTGCGAGATAGGGACTTGAACGCAAAACATGGCCCAACGAGGGCTCACCAGGGACTGGAATAAAGTAAAGAGATTGCCTAACATAGCCCTAGAAGTCACTATCTATAAGACGTGTCTGCGAGATAGGGACTTGAACGTCGTAAACATAGCCCAACGAGGGCTCAAAAGGGACTGGAGTAAAGCCCCCCCCAACGTGACCGAACATAGCTTCCATATTGCCTAACATAGCTTTAGAAGTC